ATATTGTAAAAATTTGAATATCACAACTTTCGGGCCGAAATTAGTAAGGGCCGGGGTGGTTCAGCATTTTGGAGGAAAATATATATTTTTTGAATAGGCTAGTTTCCCCACAATGAATGTACATACATGCCATTAGATGGATCTTGACCCCCATATCCCTTTGAAAGGGGCGTAGGGGCAAATATTGTAAAAATTTGAATTATCACAACTTTCGGGCCGAAATTAGTAAGGGCCGGGGTGGTTCAGCATTTTGGAGGAAATATATATTTTTTTTAATAGGCTAGTTTCCCCACAATGAATGTACATACATGCCATTAGATGATCCTGACCCCCATATCCCTTTGAAAGGGGCGTAGGGGCAAATATTGTGATAATTTGAATAAACACCAATTTCAGGCCGAAATGGTAAGGGCGGGGTGGTTCAGCATTTTGGAGGAAAATATAATTTTTTTAATAGGCTAGTTTCCCCACAATGAATGTACATACATGCCATTAGATGGATCCTGACCCCCATATCCCTTTGAAAGGGGCGTAGGGGCAAATATTGTAAAATTTGAATTATCACAACTTTCGGGCGAAATTAGAAGGCCGGGGTGGTTCAGCATTTTGGAGGAAAATATTATATTTTTTTAATAGGCTAGTTTCCCCACAATGAATGTACATACATGCCATTAGATGGATCCTGACCCCCATATCCCTTTGAAAGGGGCGTAGGGGCAAATATTGTGAAAATTTGAATTATCACAACTTTCGGGCCGAAATTGTAAGGGCCGGGGTGGTTCAGCATTTTGGAGGAAAATATATTTTTTTTTTAATAGGTAGTTTCCCCACAATGAATGTACATACATGCCATTAGATGGATCCTGACCCCTATCCTTTGAAAGGGGCGTAGGGGCAAATATTGTGATAATTTGAATAAACACCAATTCAGGCCGAAATGGTAAGGGCCGGGGTGGTTCAGCATTTTGGAGGAAAATATTATATTTTTTAATAGGCTAGTTTCCCCACAATGAATGTACATACATGCCATTAGATGGATCCTGACCCCCATATCCCTTTGAAAGGGGCGTAGGGGCAAATATTGTGATAATTTGAATAAACACCAATTTGTGCCGAAAATGGTAAGGCCGGGGTGGTTCAGCATTTTGGAGGAAAATATATATTTTTTTAATAGGCTAGTTTCCCCACAATGAATGTACTACATGCCATTAGATTGATCGATGACCCCCATATCCCTTTGAAAGGGGCGTAGGGGCAAATATTGTGATAATTTGAATAAACACCAATTCAGCCAAAATGGTAAGGGCGGGGTGGTTCAGCATTTTGGAGGAAAATATTATATTTTTTGAATAGGCTAGTTTCCCCACAATGAATGTACATACATGCCATTAGATGGATCCTGACCCCCATATCCCTTTGAAAGGGGCGTAGGGGCAAATATTGTAATAATTTTT